TTTATGAAATCTTAAATCGTCAATTAAAACGTTATTACTTGGAAATTTTGTGAATTTATAGAAATACCAATTTTCATAAATTGGTACTTCTATACCAATTCTCATAAAATAGAAATACCAAATCTCATAAAATAGAACAGCAGTTTCATAAACAAAATATTTTCGTTGCGGCATCCTGATTATTTACAAGATCTCTGCAACTGGATTACGATTTTATTTTTCATGTTCTAATTTTCATCTTCTATTAATTTTATAGGAGGGGGAAAATAAAAACCTTCTTCAATTGAATTGCAAAACATTATCATCCTTTTCCAGTGTCAACTTTTTTCCCTTCCAAATACCTCTTATTGACAACATTTACTGGTTCAGTGGGATCTTTAACATTTCCAGTTCTATCTTTTCTATCTATAGTACCTACAATTTTTAAAATCCCAAAGCATTTTATATGTAATTTAATAAAATATAACTTAACTTTAATTTTATGGATTTCTACATTAGTTAAAAGTTTATTTCCCATATCGTAATGTCTGTTGCTCATTAGTCTAAAACCTCATTTCTCCCTATTTCTCATATTAAAAGGATAGTGTGCTGTCATTTACTAAAGACTAAGAGTTTTCATTTTCCCAAGGAGTGTATCATAGGAATTTCTTTCGAAACCAAATTAATTTTACAGGTTCTTCTCTGTTGCAAAATAAAGTATAATCTACAGCAGTAGTTTGGAGCATTTTGCATTTCATTGCAAAAATTAGCTATTTTAGTATAAATAGCCTTCGTTATGTGAGAAATTGAAACAAATCAGATGACTCAAACTTCCAAAACCATTGTAAATTATCAGAGATCCGTATTATTATTAAATCAAGGTTCTAAAATAATAGAACTGATTATATTTCTTCTTATTAAAATACATTTCACATAGTTCATTTGGAATATTTATATAGTTGTTAACCAGCAAGAAATCCTACGTAAGTTGCCAATTATCATATTGTTATTCATTTTTATGTTATTTTCTCTGTTAACGTACTGTAGAATTCCATAAACACTTCCATAAACAATAAATCGTAGAAAGGGGTTGGGAAAAGCAAAGAAAACATCTCAATATTAAAAAACTGTCAGAGAAACGAAATTTTTGGGGACTGCCTAACTTTACAATTCTAGCAAAAATAATTCATCAGCATTTTCTAGAACATAAATTATGTCAATAAGATCTCTATTTATCATGATGAATATTTTTCACAAAAGATCCTCATATTTCACAATAGATTTTTTTTTAAAACAGATGAATATTTTTACATATAAATGCTCAATACTCTCTTAACATCTTTTTCTAAATTTATGTTTTATTTTTAGTTACATATAAGTATACAAACATTTCGCTCCCAGATTTTAATATCAAATATCTCGGTGAATTTTTATAGGGATTACGGAGTTTTATTTTTTAAAATGAGGTTTGTTAAATATAAGTATACGGACCGGAAGGAACATATAAAATAACCGATTGAGCAATTTTTACACAACTGATTTTTTAATTTAAAAATACCTCAGTATTAAAGTTTGTAACCTTAAAATGTTTTTTACTAGACGTGTACTACCAAAAGTTGCAGAAATAAAAGCTGAAAAAGGGGGCACGGTGTATATACAGCTATATATCTACATATTTTAGGGCACGGTGTATATGCATCTACAGATATTTAAAGGTAGCCTTTTCAGATTTTCTGTAAAATAACAGATATCAAAGATTTCAATTCTGAGATTAAATAATAGTATAGTTTATGTTCTAAAATTGTGATGAAGGAAATGTACAAATGTGTAAATATCCACAGTTCCTATTTTAGAATAATATCATATTAAATTATATTGCATTCTACTAACGCAATTTCAGTTAAGCATTTAATTGGCGATTGATAACGAATTAAATGGCGATTGATAACGAATTTCGCTGATTATTTCCTCATTCTGGTGGTTTAATACAAATCTTATTCTTAATCAAGAAATAGTGATTGCTTCGAATAAATTTAGTCCAATACCAAGGGACAAAGACCAACGAACAGAACCACATTTTGATGGGTCATTCTTTCGATTCTATTTAACCTAACCATTGCTAATGACATTCGACCTTTAAACACGTCATTTCATGAGCAGTTTCGAATTCAATTCTGACCCATGAGTAGTAAATCTGACTCTTGGAAGAGGTGGATGCCATAACAATTATCTCTAAACTGATAAAGTCTGACGCGCTCTCTGCAACCGCTTTATAGCTTCCGGAATCCTCAAAGACGATATTAAACTAAATTATTCCCCTTGTCTGGCATCTGAACAAGGAATACTGCGAGCAATTACGATTGCTCTTCGGGTAATTACGCTAAGTAATTAAGCTTTATAGCCGTTTCTCTGATATAATTTAAGAGCTACGATCCTTAACTCCCCCCCCCCTTGTATTGGATACGTGAATCTTTCTTTATTAGTGACATATCTGTGGCGAAAGGTCGTTTGTGATTATTTTTAGAGTCAGGAATCTGGCTGATCTCGCTGCTGGAATGTTAATTCTATGTTTGTTTAAGATTCAGGAATAAAATGTGGAATTATGTAAGTGCTTAAATTTTCACCCTGTATAATTAATTCTGTTTACAGTTTATATTAGTTATAAGGAAAAGTTAGATTTGTGTTCTTTTATCTACTATATGGTTAGAGTAAACTGTTTGCAACAAAACTTGGTACTTAGCAAACTTATTTTCGCGAAATAAAATAGCCTCTGAATAATAAATGGAAAATGTAAATACGGAAAATATCTTTTAATCAGGAAATAAGAAGAGAAAGATCTATAAGAATTATCTTGCTTTTAAATGCTCATCAGTACAATGAATGATGTTTAACATTTCTAACGTTTTTATATCTGATGAGTATTCATGTACTCGTATTGTAAATCAGACTTTGTTAAGTTTCCTTTATGATAATATATTATTTTTATGATTTATATTATTTTGTAGAAATGCTCGTATTTTTCATGTTGTTTTTAACTAGAAAGTGAATAAATTTAGTACATTTTGGTCTAAGAACATTACACATTTATTTTCGCAGAAAATTATTCTGCAAAGTTTTAGGTAAATCTTGTTTAAGTGAAAGCAGAAAGTATTTTATATTTTGAATGAAATAATGCTATACAGTACATTCTAAAATGATATCATACAGTTATGACAAAAGTTGATTCCTTAACAGGCATAACTATCAATTTTTGAAATGAAGTATATCTTCCTTTTCATCGATTCGTTTTTTAAGTTTCCTAATTATCTACTTTTGCATACCAAGTATTTTGTATCCTTTGTTTGAGTGTCTCACTGATATACTCTCTGACATATTTTTTGAATGTGAAATGCCTCTAGAAAATCCAGTTCTCCAATGGAAGATGTTTTTTCAATAATTTTGGCAGGAGAAAAATTGAAAGTGTGATTTTCGGACCAACAATGTTGGGCAACAGAAGAATTCTGTGTTTCCTTTTTTCTAACATATGCCTCATGTTCCTTGACGCAAAATTTTAAGGCTGTCTTAGTTTGGCCAACGTAAATTAAACAACACTGGCAAGGAATCCTATAAATACCCCAGGAATTCATATCCGAAATGGGGTCCTTCAGTATTGAACTCGGAATTTTATTGTAGGGAGAATAAACTACCCGAATGTTAAAATTTCTCGAAATATGTGCAACAAGCTAATTGATGGAAAGAAGGGAATGACAACAGAAGTTTTATAATCTCCTAAAGCAAGAGTGTGCCTTTTGGTGTGTTGAGATGAGAATTTTTTAACTGCTTGATTAATAATGTTGGGTGAAGAGCCCCTGTCAATAGCTATTGCTTTTAAATAATTTAGTTCTTCATCGAGAGATAGTTTGGAGGAGCAAATTTGAAGAGCACGGAAATCATAGGAATAAAATGAAGTTAACTTTTGTTTTGTCGAATGACATGATTTGAAGTGTGGTGGAAGGCAAATCGATGAAGGTTTACGGTAAACCGTATACTTAAGTTGGATGTGTTACGTGTGACCAGAATGTCGAGAAACGGAAGAGAATTGCATGTCTCAAGCTCAAAAGTGAACTGAATAGCAGGATCAATGGAATTCATTCTGTGCTCTTCAAGTTTGCTCCTTTAACAAGTGAGAGAAGCGAAAGCACACAATAGAGGTGTATAGAGCGAACCAAGTTCCCTGTCTTATGATGCTAGTTGTGTGTAATTTCTTGCAGATGAATGGTGTCTGTTCGGTGAATGATAATTTTCCTTTGTAAAAAATGAATTTTAACCTTGATAAGAAAAAAAAAAATCTGAAAAGTTTCAGATTTTAAAGTACGTCCAAAATGCCTTTTTTTAGCGTTTTGTGTGTTACCTTTATTTATTAAATATCATGTCCTTTGCACTTAACCATAAAATTCACTTCAATAGCAATGTCTCAAAATAATTTTAAAATGAGCCTATCTTTAGGATTTCCGATACACAGTTACGCGCGCTGGAGATAAAAATGTTTCCCCTCTTCCTAGAGTGTTGCCATTGCTCGCTTTGAAATCGTTGAGGTTGTTAATAAAAAATTCGTTAAAGGTTTACAAAATATGAAATCGATAATAAAACAAATTCCAAATTTCAAGTTTGGTCTTCCACATGCCTATATTAGTAGGAGGATTAAGTCATTCAAAATTCGATGGCTGTATGTACCGTTGTTTTATCACAAAGCGAGAAATATACATGCAGTGGTGTGGATTATTCATTATTTAATTTCTTCAAATATAATGCAGGACTCTAAAATTTGGTGGCAACAGTTTGAAATGTGAAACGGACATTTATAGTGATTCAACGCAAAGTCGCAAAACTAAAACAATAATCCTTCAGAGACAAATCTCCTTTGTACTAAACAATTCTTAATACTTAAACAGTTACAAGGATATATTACACCTGTAATGAATGCATTTAAAAGCAAAACATTTCCCATAAAATAGAAAATATAAATATAAAGTTAAAGGCCAATGAGGAGAAAAACTGAAGTTTGCTTTTTCAAGCACGATCTTCAGCAGCGTGGCTCATTAACGGAGGAGAGGTAAGAACACTGAATACAGGTAATACAGTGTCGAAATCAGAGTGAACGAGCTGACGACAAAAGAGTTGCTTTGAATTTCCTCACAGATAGTGTAAATCGTAATCAGTTTCCCTCAAGAAGTTTTCACTAAATGCATTCCTTCCAATAGATAACCCTTACGTTATTTCATCTTAATAACTTAACCCAAATTAAATGTATATTTTTGGAATAAAGAAAGACATGATGATTTGTATACGCAAAATTAAGGCTATATTTTCAGAACCTAATTGATTAGGCAGTGCTTTGAAAACCCAAATTTTAATTTTTCTCCTTTATAAAATCATATTTTGTTCACAATTACGCTAAACGAAATGCTTTATTAATCATCCGAACATCTTAAAAGAAACCCTTCAGCATTATTTTCCTTAAGCAAATATTATAGTTGTACATCTCTATAACGATTATGTCAAGTAATGTTAATCTCCCCCTCCCCATTTAGGTTAATTTTTTCAATTTAAAAATTCATCTTGGCCACGTCTGAAAGTAGTACAGAAAATCATGGGAAAATAACACTTCTTCTTCTTCGGCGCCTCCTACCTACTTTCGAATCGTGGATTTTCCGATTTTGTATATCTAGATTTGTCATAATTCCGGTATCATTGGCATCCAGACTGAATGACAGCGTCACCGGTTTCGACATCAAGTTCACATTTGGCGTCTATAATTTTTCGATGCCTTTAAAAAATAACCTCTTTCTGCTTGTAAATTATTAATAGAATTCAGGATATGCCTGCTTATTTGTTTATTGGATTGCAAAGAGCTTTTATCCAACTTACTGTTTAAAGATAACAGAGCTGATGCCTTGCTACTCATTCGTTCTAATCGCAATTTAGCGGATGTATCTACGAACTGTTTATTTGACTAAGCGGAGTCCATCTGGTTTACAGAATGACACTGTCAAATCTATTCTGTACAACGTTTATTTACCCGTGTAAGAATTATAGCATCCCTCCATATCGTATTTGGTAAAGGTGTTCAAGCCTTCGCAGCTTCAAATCCCGTCATCACTGGATAGCAGCCAAAGCTACACGACTGACACTTTGAATGTAGTTTTAAATACTGTGTTCAGTCAGGACGATGCAGAGCAAGCCGAACAAGCTGCCCTTCGAGCAGATACAAATAGTGTAGACACAGAAGCAGATCCGGAATTCACGCTTCAAGAACTGCAGAGAGTGCTGGCAAGTCTGCCGCGAAAGAAAGCCCCCGGGACTGACGGCATGGACTACACAATCGTAAAAGCTACCCTAAAGGCATACCCTACATTCTTCGTAAGCTATTTCAATAAGCTTCTGTCAGTAGTAGGACTTTTTCCAACACCATATAAAATAGGGCAAGTGGTATTATTCCTCAAGAAAAACAGAGATCCTTCAGAAGCCTCATCATTCAGACCCATCTGCCTTTTGTCGGCGATGGGGAAGGTGTTGGAGAAGCTAATCATCAACAGACTGCGCCACCACTTGCATCTCAACGGTTATCTCAGCAGCAGCCAATATGGCTTCAGGACTGGTTCATCGACGGTGCATGCCCTCCATAATATAAAGGAGGCAATTCTGGAAAATAGACACAGCGGCCACCACACGGCTATGGTCAGCATAGACCTAAAGAATGCTTTCGATACGCTGTGGTGGCCGGCTATCAAGCAGGCATTACGAAGGGCCAATTGCCCAAGTAACATATATAGTATAATAAGCAACTACCTGCAGGATCGGAAGCTATTAGCGGTGCATAATGCAGGCATTATCGAAAAGGTGCAAACTAGAGGATGTCCGCAAGGATCGTGCGCCGGGCCGCATTTATGGAACTTAACGTTCAATGAAGTACTGACAGCGACGTGGCCGGCGCACACTAAAATCATTGCATACGCGGATGACGCGGCGCTTATCGTAAAGGGTACCACGCGAGAAAAATTACAGAAAAATTGCAATGAAGTTTGCGCGATCTTTCATGACCAGTGTACCAAACTTAAGCTCACAATTGCAGAACATAAGTCAAAAGTCCTTTTAATTCCGAAAAAAGGAGGATCCTTAGTAAGACGCCCCACCATAAAGATTAACAACCAACGCCTGCAGATAGTGGACCAGCTAAGATATTTAGGGGTCACTTTTGATCATAAGATGACCTGGATCCCTCACGTGCAGGATCTCAAACTCCGGACGGCAGCCATAGCCAAACAAATGAAACTCTTTTATGGTCACAAATGGGGGCTTAACCCCCATATTCAAAAGGTATTGTACACGACAGTCATCGAGAAGATAGTGACGTATGCTGCCGCAGTATGGGCCTACCCAATGCAAGGAAGGAAGGTCAGACATCTTAACAGCATACAACGACCATTCGCATTGGGAATCACACGGGCCTACCGCACCACCTCCACCGATGCCATTAACGTACTTGCTGGTCTCCTTCCCCTGCACATCCGGGTTGAGGAGGAGGCAGCACGCCAACACATTTTGCAACTTAAGAAGGCAGTTACTTTTGACGATGAAACATACTACCCGGATGAGTACGAAACAAACTTCTGCCCTCTTGACGTCCACCCGGCAGAGAAAGGCAAAGGGATACTTATCTCAATTAATCCCACTGCAACTCATCACTCAAGGGAAATGACCATCTATACAGACGGGTCTAGATTGGACGAAAGAGTGGGATGCGCCTATGTCGCCACGAAACAAGACAACGCAATCGAGAAATGGAAGGGACAGTTAAGACAACATAACAGTGTCTTTCAAAGCGAAGCAGTGGCAATTGCACAAGCGATTCGCTACCTGCACTCGCACCAGCATAGCCATGTCACCATTAAAACGGACAGCTTATCATCGTTATATGCCATTTGGAATGCAGATCATCCCTCGGAGATTATACAGGGAATCCAGAGAGATCTTAGAAGTAACCCCCAGTACCGCACAAAATTAGAGTGGATAAAGGCTCATGTTGGCCACTATGGCAATGAACTTGCCGACCAACTCGCCAAAGAGGCAACAACTGACCCGCCTGATGCACCAATTATCATCCCATGGCCGCATTCGTATTTAAAGAAGACACTACGCCTAAGGGCTACTGGCATGTGGCAGAACGAATGGGACCAAAGCACCACAGGGAGAAGGACCCACTACTTCATCGGCTATGTGGACACTAGCCGAAATGTAGCGAACGCACAGTTGGTAAGGTTCATTTCCGGGCATGGGCCCTACCCGGAATATTTCTTCAAGCGTGGCATAAGTCACACAAGTCAATGTGCATGCGGCGACTCAGGCTCACCAGAGCACTATCTAACGTCATGCCCATTAACAGAAGGACTGCATATCAATCTCCCTGAAACAAATCGCCAGCCGTTCTGTAAATATATGATAAAACAGCGGCACTTTATTAAAAAGCTGGTACAGTTGATGGACAGACTGTCCGACTTAGATACAGACTTGTGTCAGCCATAGAACAACCCAGCATGTAAAAACAACTTAAGCATTTTAAAAAGGACATGTATTGCAATGTAGGAAAACTGTCATTCAAGTGAATTGTAAGAAACTATAATGTAGACTAGAAACTCACAGTATAAAGACTGCCTGTATTCATACCTGGAAAGTCAGTTGCATTTAACAATGTGCATGTACTGTGTAAATAAATTTCGGCAAATTATACCGTAAGACCATATATAATGAACCGATATATAATGTAGGCATAACGAATGTATGAAAGTGCATATATCTGTAAGCAAAGTAATGTAAGGGAGTGTAATATATGTAAATATTTTTGTGTATCAGTAAGCTATGTATAAGTAAGTTATGCAATTTAAAGTAATGCAATATAAATGCAGAAATGTCTAATAAAAATGCATGGGTAACATATATGTTTTGTATTATGAATAAGGGATATAGGATGTCTAACGCAAAGCAATGTATATGTATTGGAATGTCTATTTCATGTACTGGAAAATTATGCAATAAGTACCCAAATAACATGTAATGTAAGTAACCTGTAAGACTATTATGTTTGTAAATATTTGTATCTAAAAAATTAATCAGAATGTATCTGCATGTATCTATATGCAACTGCAAGTATATGTAACCTAAGGTTAAGCAGTGTAGGTAGGTAAAATTAAGTAATATGTGAAGCAGGCGTGCCTGACTATGTATGTATATAAAAATAATGTAACGCAAGGCACATGTAATATTGGCATATGTAATTGTACATGCAAACTGTATTTATATGCAATCTACAAGTAATGTAGGTATATTTATTGAAATGTACAGCTAAAAAACTGTAACTGTACACAAAAGTAATCCAACGAATGTAAGATTAATGTAATTCAGGTAATGCATATGCATTGTATGCCGGAAATGAGAGACAAAGTCAGTATGTAACTCTGTAAATCACGTTATCCATAGAATATGTTAACCAGTAAACAAGAATGTAATACTAAATATTAACAGCCCTTGTATGGCCATGTAATTGCTCTTTTGAAAGACTCAAGGTTCAACTCTAGATATTGGTGGACATGGCGCTACACCAATTAACCGACGGTAAAGGGGTGGTGCCCACGTCCCCCGTCGCATGTCGCATATCGTATTTGGTATAAATAGCCAGACGTCCAGGTAGTTAGTGTAAGACCCATAGTTCGAATCTTAAGAGGGGACAGTTTTTTTTTGTTTCTCTCTCTGAATCCCTAAAGGTCTCTACAGTGGTGCATGAATTAAAAATGTGGTGGATAATAACTCATAACCATTCTATTAGATCATAACTCTCCGAAATCGTCCTTAAGTAAAGGAGGATATAAGGAACAGTCGCAGTTTCCCATGAATGCTGTTGCTGTATAAGTAGTCAGGATGTACAGCTACCTAACGTAAAGCATGTGGTCCGAAGCCTGGTAAGGATAGTTGTCTCAAAATCTGCAAAATTCAAAGGTTTGTGCTTTGGTACCTCATGTTTTTAATGAATTTATTATATTCTGTGTTTAAAAATGGTATATAATAAATGAAGTGTTTTCTGGAAGAAAGTTTGCCATTCATTTCAAAGTTATTACTATCTAATTACTATGAAGTGAATCTCTAGAATAAATAAAAGTTTTACAAAGAAATAAATAAATGAATAAATGCAATTGTACAACTGGAATTAGTTTAAACATTTAACTAATATTTTATTGGTTGCCAACATCCATATCTCAGATAATAGATGCATTAATTCCTAGTAACTCATCAGTGAGAAGCAGACTTTACTGAATAAAATCACAGAACAGAAGGAAAAGAAACGTATATTCCATAAACGAGATAATCGAGAGCTGTTTACAGACAACCGCTAAATTACTGAAAATCAGTATTATAAGCCTACCCATTAAGAAAATGTTCGTAATTTCTTGAAAACAGCAGCCGCAGTTCTGTGTACTTAGGTCTCTGGTGTCTCTTAGACAACCACAAAACTCAGCTTGAGAAATCCACAACTGATATATCTTTATTCGTTTTCTCACCGCAAAAGAGTTTGTAGTAATAATGTCGAATGAGTTTCTTTCGAATAAGTGAAACAAACCAGACTTTAGAAGATCATCGGGAGTGCAATATTTCAATTAAGTTCCCCTTCTTAATGCTCGGAGAGGTTCAAACAAAAACCATTAAAGTGGAGTAACGAACCGCAGCTGCTTAATTCGAGGGCGCAAAAACCGCATTTAGGATCGTTTAAAAGTGACAAATGTTAACTCATTCTCCCGCTTTCTGGATTTTCTTCTCCCATAAAAATGCGTAGAAATGAAACCTTAACGACATCTGTTGTTGCCGTGACGTAAAAACAATAGAACAATGTAATGGCCCTGAATATTAAGGCAGAAAGATTCGAATTGGCTTTCGTGCTTTTTTGAAGAATGGTTTGAAGCGTTTGCTTAAGTGGGTAGTTTGTGAGTAATCCAAATACCATAATTAAAAAAACATACTTCGAATGGAATGATGAATAATAATTGGTTTATTAGAATAGTGTGAAATATCTAATGCAAAAAATTTCTTCTGTATCTGAGACTGCTACAAAAATGTTACATGCTAATTTTATTTTCTATCTTTAAATACCTCTCAGTCAAAGTATGCGAATACACGTAGATAAGAAATTTTTAGTCCAAAGGGTCTCTGCCTGAAAAAGACTATTGTTTTCGTTTCGCGATTTTGTGCTGGTTCACTATAAATATCCGTTTCACTTTTCAAACTGTTGCCATCAAATGTTAGAGTCCTGCATTATATTTGAAGAAATTAAGTAATAAAAAATATGCATAAATGTATGCATATTTTCCGCATTGTGGTAAAAAAACGGTACATAAAGCCATCGAATTTTGAATGTTGTAATCCTTCACCGAATATCGGCATTTGGAAGACCTAATTTGAAATTTCTTTTATTATCGATTTCATATTTTGTAAAACTTTTGAATTTGAACGAATTTAATAAAAATAATTTTAAAGCGAGCAATGGCAACGTTGTACAGAAGAAACATTTTTATCTCCAGCTCTGTATCGGAAATTTAAAACTATTTTGCGATATTGCTGTTGAACTGAATTTTATGATTTATTGCGAAGAATGTGATATTTAATAAATAAAGGTAGCAAACAAAATGTTAAAAAAACGCCCCTTTGGGCGTAATTTAAAATCTGAAAAAATATAAATCTGAAACCTTTCAGATTTATGTATTTTTTTTTAGTTTATATTTTTTTTGCTGAGGTTATTAGCCTATACTCTTAGTCTTTGGTTAACAGGAATAATTTTTTTCATTTAATTAGGGCATTTTTATTTAAGGAAGACATGAGTTTTGATGCACATGCAAGTAAGAGTACAATTTAATTTATATTCTTTCCTATAAGCCTTCATTCCGCTAATTGTCAATGCCAGAATATTTTAAGTTTTGTAGCGCACGTGAAGTAATGCAAACTCTACCTTGAGGAGACAAGGTACTGAGTTATAGAACGGAAGTTAGAGAGTCTGAACAATCACCGTTACCTCTGTAACGTGAGCTTCTATTTCCGCAGTTATTGCTGATTTACGTGGCATAACCGCTATTACTTTGCTGCCACTATTTTTCGACGCGGTTTAAAGTAACAGGAGTTTTCTGAGCTCTGTAGAGAATTCCTACTACTTAGTAATATCTTCGAATTTTTATTTTAGTTCTTGTGCTTTGATTTGCCACCCGTGTGCGGCGTAGTGTGTTAGCGTCAAGTCGATGCATTGTGGATTTTAGAGTTTAATAAAAAGAGTAATTTGAGATACTATTCAAACACTTTAGAGTTATGTGGGTGTTACTAGGAGTCCAAAATTATATGCAATGAAGTAAGATTTGAGTCTAAGGAATAAAAGAAATCATTCTGATTCAAGTCAGGGCTGCGTGATACTTGAAGAAGTATTGAGGGAATTTTTGAGCCTCAGAATCCGTTATAGGACTTTAAGTACGATTTGGTAACATGGTCACGGTAAAAGACCGTTTATATGCAGTCTCAAGATGGCTAACCACATTTTCCCTAAACTCTTGAATACAGGCAGACACCTATACCTGTATTTTTACAGTTTAAGAAGCTAATAGGCAAGCATGGAAGTAGAAGTGTATGAATTAGAATCATGCTCCAAATCTGAGGCAGGAAACGACTTAGCTTTCAATGAACTTCCTCACTCTACCGCTGTCGATATATACGAGCCAGTTTTCCTTAGAAAGTCCTCCACGAAGGCATTGCTTCCCTTATGCCCTTATGCCCTTGAGCTCTTGAGGCTTTGCCGTAAGCACAAACTTGACGTAAACCCAAAACCAAACCATTCTTCCAGCTCTCTTATCTGCCCTCGTCCATTCCCTTGTTGCATATGGACGGCGATGATATTCTCGACAACATTTTAAACATTTCTTTGGTGTTGGTGTATTGAGAATACGGCAAAGCACACTAGGGCTATCTGCCTAAGGGGAGGGATGCCTTTCGTGGAGGACTTTCTAAGGGAAACTGGCTCGTTTACATGTTAAACATGGGGAAAACCACGAAAACGCCCATGCAGCCAGCCCGTTCGCGGTATTCGAACCCTCGGACCGTGTTCAGCGATTTTACCGCTCGGCCGCTGGTGGGCCTAAACATTTCTTTAAAGTGATAAAATGTTTTGTTGCTATATTTTTGGATGTTAAAAACACTGATACATAAGAAGTTAAAAATAATTAATTTTCAAT